CTTCTTTACCGTTCCAAGTAGAGGTGGACGCGTCAGAGGCCGGGATAGGGGCCGTTCTTTCCCAGCGTTCTGGCACTCCACCGAAACTCCGTCCCTGTGCGTTCTACTCTAAGAAGCTCAGTCCGGCGGAGCGGAATTATGGCGTAGGAGACAGGGAGCTGTTAGCCGTGGTACAGGCCCTAAAGGTGTGGCGGCATTGGCTCGAGGGGGCTCAACACCCTTTCCTCATTCTAACTGACCATCGTAACCTGGAGTACATCCGGGCAGCTAGGAGACTGAATCCTCGCCAGGCTCGTTGGACTATGTTCCTAGCCCGGTTTGTGTTTAAGATCACATACATCCCTGGGTCCCAGAACGGGAAGGCAGATGCTCTGTCTCGGCGGTATGACGCAGAGGAGAGGTCAGTTGAGTCCACGCCCATACTACCGGAGTCTTGTCTGGTTGCTCCGGTGGTGTGGGAGGTTGATGGTGAGATCGAGCGGGCGTTACGCACCGACCCGAGTCCTCCACAGTGTCCTGTGGGTCGGACGTACGTTCCGCTCGAGGTACGCGATCGCCTCATTTGTTGGGCTCATACGTCCCCCTCCTCTGGCCATCCGGGTATCGGCCGGACAGTGCACTGCCTTAGCACGAAGTACTGGTGGCCAACGTTAGCTAGGGATGTGAGGATTTATGTCTCCTCCTGTTCGGTGTGTGCCCAGTGTAAGGCGCCCAGACATTTGCCCAGGGGTAAGTTACAACCCCTGCCTATTCCACAACGACCCTGGTCCCACCTCTCGGTGGATTTTGTTACCGACCTCCCCCCCTCACAGGGGAATACTACCATCCTGGTCGTTGTGGATCGGTTCTCTAAGGCCTGTCGTCTCCTTCCCATGCCGGGTCTACCCACTGCCCTACAGACCGCTGAGGCTCTGTTCACCCATGTCTTCCGGCATTACGGGGTACCCGAGGATATAGTGTCTGACCGAGGCCCCCAGTTCACCTCTAGGGTGTGGAGAGCATTTATGGAACGGTTGGGGGTTTCGGTAAGCCTTACCTCGGGGTACCACCCGGAGAGTAATGGGCAGGTTGAACGTGTCAACCAGGATGTGGGTAGGTTTCTGAGGTCATACTGTCAGGGCCGGCCGGAGGAGTGGGCGAGATATGTGCCCTGGGCCGAGATGGCACAGAACTCTCTTCGCCACTCCTCCACCCAACTAACCCCTTTTCAGTGTGTATTAGGGTACCAGCCGGTTCTGGCACCATGGCATGAGAGCCAGATCGAGGCCCCCGCTGTGGATGAGTGGGTGCGGCGCTCGGAGGAGACGTGGGACGCTGCACACGTCCATCTGCAGCGTGCCATACGTCGACAGAAGACGAGCGCCGACCTACACCGCAGTGAGGGGCCAGTGTACGCACCTGGAGATCGAGTCTGGCTCTCAACCAGAAACCTGCCCCTCCGCCTGCCCTGCCGGAAGCTGGGTCGGCGGTTTGTGGGGCCATTTAAAGTCCTGAGGAGATTGAACGAGGTGAGTTATAGGTTAGAACTACCTGTTGATTACAAAAATATTAACCCCTCGTTCCATGTGTCTCTCCTCAGGCCGGTGGTAGCTGGTCCACTCCAGGACTTTGAGATTGAGGAGACTCCTCCGCCCCCGTTGGACATCGAGGGGGCTCCGGCGTACACCGTGAGGTCCATCCTGGATTCTAGACGCCGGATGGGGGGTCTTCAATATCTCGTGGAGTGGGAGGGGTACGGCCCGGAGGAGCGGTGCTGGGTGCCAAGGAGGGACGTCTTAGACCAGTCCCTACTGACCGATTTCCATCGGGGTCATCCTGCGCGCCCTGCTCCGCGTCGTCCGGGTCGTCCCCGAGCTCCGGGTCGGCGCACGGCTGGAGCCGCGCGTCAAGGGGGGGGGTACTGTCACGGTTTCGGCCGAGGCTGCTCCTCTTCCTTGTTCGGGCAGGCTTCGGCGGTCGTCGTCTCCGGAGTACTAGCTGCCACCGTTCTATGTTTCATGTTCTTTTGGTTTTGTCTGTTTCATAACACCTGTCCCTTATTTGTGTCTTAATTGTTTCCCTTATTTAGTTCGTGTGTTTGGGTCAGGTGTTATGCGTGATTGTTGATTGTCAGCCTGCCTCTGTGAAGTTTATATTATTCTCTCGTTGTGTTTTCCCGAGAGCTCGCACTGCGTGCGCTTTTCTTGTTTTGACGCACTGTGTGTTTTGTGCGTAATTGTGTGCGCCACCCGGTTGGGTTGGCGACTCCTTGTTCTCGTTGCTTTGGGAACATTACTAAAGACGGTTGAAGTCATCCTGGGTCCTGCGCTTGATTCCTTCCACTCACCTACACACACCACTCTGACACTTATATGCTGCCCCTGTCTTCATGTTGTTGCTGGACATATCTTTTTTAAAATGTGTGTAGGTCACCTAAATCATCAGAAAAATTGCCCCTCCTGAGAATTTTTTCAGGAGCCGCCACTGGTCCCAACACCTTACCACTGTTACACCTGGCTATCAGCTGAGCCTTGTCTGGCAGCGAAACAGTTCATTCAGCCTCATTTACTGCCTTTTTAAATAACATAGTTGATATGGCTGACTTGCTTAAACAAATGTGGTTTCTACTGACAATTGAGATGTACAAACTAAGGCATAAGGGGACGACGAGCGGATAAGAGGCAATCCGTAATTTCGATGAAGACATTAATGAGCGAGCTAAGACGGAGGTAGTCAATATAACTATTTGTTCAGCACTTTTGAAATGTGCAGCGACAGAATTCAGAACATGGTCCGTTCTTACAGTGTTCTCCCTGTACATCAAGTCAGAACCGTAGGATAAATAAAGGGGGCATATAAGCAGCCAATGAAAGCTCTTACAATATTCCATGATAACATTTCTCTGAAACAGGCTATAGGCACCACCCAGTCAGAACAGTAGGCTACGTTATGAGGGGGGAAAGGAACCAAATTATTAGCATGAGGCACATGGGCTACTAACAGCTTACTACACAACATAGACTTAGTATTACTTTCTTAGCTACAGTATACATATCTCCCTGGCATATTACATTGTTTATGCAGCAGCATACAATACATTTTTGGAGTCACCTTGTTGTGCTGTGCTCACTTGAACAGGAAGGTGGTGCAGCGGTCCTACTGGTGGGCAGATTTTGTCATCAAACTTTGTCATAAAAGTCTGGCATTCTCTGGATTTATGGTGCTTTCAAGACAACAGGGAACTCTGGGAAAAAAATAAAAGGTTGAATCATGACGTCAGTGATCTTCAGGTCGGAGCTCTAGAAAGAGGCCCGAGTTCCCGACTTGGAATTCCGAGGTGGATGACCGTTCAAAATGTATTTTCCAGTTCCCAGTCCAAGTCTGAGATTTCCCAGTTCCGAGTTTCCAGTTGTTATGAACATGGCAGAAGTCATGCTGGATTGACAGCATGGCCAATGCATTCCACCTTTTCTGGCCCGTGGTGTCGCATGTGAAAGTTTTATCCTTTTAAGCTTGGAAAAGAGACCCTTAAACCCAGACTTGGACCACACACCCTCTCCACTGAATAGCAGGCTAGTGATCGCTTTGCGAGGCTTGCAGTTAGCCACTGATTATTTCCAAACCACTCATTGTTGAATTTGCGATTTCCAACTTGTGTAATGTTTATGTCCAATTTGGCCGACGAGCACCGATACATTTTTTAAATCTATAATTTCTCTTCACATGACAAGGTTTGAAAAGGATTTGGCAGTAGATTGTCGACGTGATTCATGATGATGACTGCTTGTCTCGCTTGCTAGCTAAGATTTTGAAAGTATGATGTTGACATGATCAGTCCAATCAAAGCAACTGTAGATATAACGCCATTTTATTTGTGGCCAATGACCTTGAGCCTTCTTGGACGGGCCCTTCTAATGTAACTCCATGGCAGCACCCAAGGGGCTTGAATTTTCGAGCTCTCCCTGTAGATTTTGCAGTGATGTAGTGTCCCTATGAGTGACAGAACACTGAGCCAATCACGGCGCAACTAGAGAACATTACCAACCCCTACACTGTATTTTCCGCTGGCTGCCCCACCACCACAGAAAGCACTGAGCTAGGCTGAAACACCTGCATTTTGGAGATGCCTTACTCAATAAATCAACCATGTTTGAATCCGGCTTTATTAACTCAATTAATATATTTTTTACATTGTTTGCAAACTGATATGTGACACGTATTAATGCCAAATTAACATGAAAAACCGGCAACCATTTTTTTTTGTATAGCTAAACAGGTGGGGCTCAATGACAAGTCGCCAGTGGGTAAATGTGACCAATAGACGCATATCTGTATTCCCAGTCATGTGAAATCCATAGATTTGGGCCTAATTAATTAATTAAATTTGATAGAAAAAAATCGTTGAAATTGTTGCATTTTGCGTTTATATTTGTGCACATAATTGTGCACATTTTCGCCATAATTATTCATTTACAAAGTATATAGGACAAAACTTTTCTTCTGAAGGATTCCAGAAATCCACGAGCCGGAAGTAGTTAGTTTTCCTTTCCTGTTTAACAGTGGTGTAAACATTGCAGTTGGTTTGGCATCAGAGGCTCTGGCTGTCACATTCTGGTGTCATCGAAGCTCAGGACTGAAATCTGCTTCAAGCCAAATAGAGATATCATAACTTTTTGAGTGGAGTGATTCGGTGAGTTTTCTGGCTTTAGTATGGGAGAAATGTCACAGAAAATGAGTTAGACAGTGCGCAGCTAGCTAGCCAACAACAACAATGATAATGCTAACTCGCCAGTTAGCGAGACAAATGTCAGAAGAAGCAGGCCGTTAGCGTATTACCAATGTAAAGACATTTGGACTGGGGTCTTCTCCTTGGGACGAAGGTCGAAAACGAGCAAACCTCAGATTTACAGTTGGCATTAGCAAGAAGTGATAGGAGTTCAAGTTATCATTGAGCCAGGATAAACTAACGTTAGCTAAAGTTCGCTAGCTAGCTGTAGCTTGTTTGAAAGACGGTATGTAAGTTAGCTGTGATAGCTGTTGTGTTTCTGATCCTCCAGCCCTGTTGTGTTCTGATCCTCCGGGCCTGTTGTGTTCTGATTCTCCGGGCCTGTTGTGTTCTGATCCTCCAGCCCTGTTGTGTTCTGATCCTCCAGCCCTGTTGTGTTCTGATCCTCCAGCCCTGTTGTGTTCTGATCCTCCAGCCCTGTTGTGGTCTGATCCTCCAGGCCTGTTGTGTTCTGATCCTCCGGGCCTGTTGTGTTCTGATCCTCCAGGCCTGTTGTGTTTCTGATCCTCCAGCCCTGTTGTGTTCTGATCCTCCGGGCCTGTTGTGTTATGATCCTCCAGGCCTGTTGTGTTTCTGATCCTCCAGGCCTGTTGTGTTCTGATCCTCCGGGCCTGTTGTGTTCTGATCCTCCGGGCCTGTTGTGTTTCTGATCCTCCAGCCCTGTTGTGTTTCTGATCCTCCGGGCCTGTTGTGTTTCTGATCCTCCAGCCCTGTTGTGTTTCTGATCCTCCAGCCCTGTTGTGTTCTGATCCTCCAGGCCTGTTGTGTTCTGATCCTCCAGCCCTGTTGTGTTCTGATCCTCCGGGCCTGTTGTGTTCTGATCCTCCAGCCCTGTTGTGTTCTGATCCTCCAGGTTCCTCCAAACCATGCACTGCAGCTGTGTGCGGAGCTCCAGGGCTCTGTCCCCTGCCCTGCTCCCTAGGCTGCTGTCCCATGCAGGATGCTGGGCCCCGGGGACCAGGCCTGGGGGTCTCTGGAGCTCCTCCCGGAGCCTGGCCTCGGCTGGAGAGACCACGCAGCCCATCCCCCTGCCCAGCCAAGCCCGGGTGGTGATCTGTGGAGGGGGCATCGTAGGAACGTCTGTGGCCTATCACCTGGCCAAGCTGGGCTGGACCGAGATAGTCCTATTGGAGCAGGGAAGGTAGGAGGGGCTAAATGAGGTGGTCTGTTTACAACAGGGGGTGCATGTTTTCTTAACACTTTATTTATGAGGACGTGGACAATATGTCATGATTTCATATGAGTTGATTGTTTTACTGGGCTTGTCAGGTGATGGGAGACCAATAAAGTGCAGACTAGCTTCAAGATCTTATTGGAATCAATGATAGCATCTAGAAAGCAGAAGGAACCATAGTCTAATGTCTCATTACTCACCCTGCTGTGTTATGATCCCCTGTGTGTGTTAGGCAGGGGGGAAAGGAGATGGCATCTCTTACCGCTACGGAGTCTACTGCGTGTGTTAGGCAGGGGGGAAAGGAGATGGCATCTCTTACCACTACGGAGTCTACTGCGTGTGTTAGGCAGGGGGGAAAGGAGATGGCATCTCTTACCGCTACGGAGTCTACTGCGTGTGTTAGGCAGGGGGGAAAGGAGATGGCATCTCTTACCGCTACGGAGTCTACTGCGTGTGTTAGGCAGGGGGGAAAGGAGATGGCATCTCTTACCGCTACGGAGTCTACTGCGTGTGTTAGGCAGGGGGGAAAGGAGATGGCATCTCTTACCGCTACGGAGTCTACTGCGTGTGTTAGGCAGGGGGGAAAGGAGATGGCATCTCTTACCGCTACGGAGTCTACTGCGTGTGTTAGGCAGGGGGGAAAGGAGATGGCATCTCTTACCGCTACGGAGTCTACTGCGTGTGTTAGGCAGGGGGGAAAGGAGATGGCATCTCTTACCGCTACGGAGTCTACTGCGTGTGTTAGGCAGGGGGGAAAGGAGATGGCATCTCTTACCGCTACGGAGTCTACTGCGTGTGCGTGTGATTGCGGGTCTAATCATAGAATCCCACATAGCATCCCTATTAATGATTATGATCTCCGTGGGCCTAGTAAAGATTAGGCATATCTCTTGTATTATGCATTAACTTTTATTGAGGCGCAAACACAACCAGTCAATTATGTTTTCATCTGATTGTCAAACAATTACTTCAAAAGGTGCGCCTGTTGGCTACACGCGAATGTTTGTCCAACGCACAAAAATAATTCCAGCATCCAGAAACTGCACCTGCAATTTGGTGAATGGAAAGAGACTACTGTTCCAAAACACCTAAAAGTGTAATGACATTTGGTGATTGTCAGTAGGCCTCTACACTGGTATCCTTCAGTAGGCCTCTACACTGGTATCCTTCAGTAGGCCCTCTACACTGGTATCCTTCAGTAGGCCTCTACACTGGTATCCTTCAGTAGGCCCTCTACACTGGTATCCTTCAGTAGGCCCTCTACACTGGTATCCTTCAGTAGGCCTCTACACTGGTATCCTTCAGTAGGCCTCTACACTGGTATCCTTCAGTAGGCCCTCTACACTGGTATCCTTCAGTAGGCCTCTACACTGGTATCCTTCAGTAGGCCTCTACACTGGTATCCTTCAGTAGGCCCTCTACACTGGTATCCTTCAGTAGGCCCTCTACACTGGTATCCTTCAGTAGGCCTCTACACTGGTATCCTTCAGTAGGCCCTCTACACTGGTATCCTTCAGTAGGCCCTCTACACTGGTTATCCTTCATTAGGCCTCTACACTGGTATCCTTCAGTAGGCCCTCTACACTGGTATCCTTCAGTAGGCCTCTACACTGGTATCCTTCAGTAGGGCCTCTACACTGGTATCCTTCAGTAGGCCCTCTACACTGGTATCCTCAGTAGGCCTCTACACTGGTATCCTTCAGTAGGCCTCTACACTGGTATCCTTCAGTAGGCCCTCTACACTGGTATCCTTCAGTAGGCCCTCTACACTGGTATCCTTTCAGTAGGCCTCTAACGGGTAATCCTCAGTAGGCCCTCTACACTGGTATCCTTCAGTAGGCCTCTACCACTGGTATCCTTCAGTAGGCCTCTACACTGGTATCCTTCAGTAGGGCCCTCTACACTGGTATCCTTCAGTAGGCCTCTACACTGGTATCCTTCAGTAGGCCTCTACACTGGTATCCTTCAGTAGGCCCTCTACACTGGTATCCTTCAGTAGGCCTCTACACTGGTATCCTTCAGTAGGCCCTCTACACTGGTATCCTTCAGTAGGCCCTCTACACTGGTATCCTTCAGTAGGCCCTCTACACTGGTATCCTTCAGTAGGCCTCTACACTGGTATCCTTCAGTAGGCCCTCTACACTGGTATCCTTCAGTAGGCCTCTACACTGGTATCCTTCAGTAGGCCCTCTACACTGGTATCCTTCAGTAGGCCTCTACACTGGTATCCTTCAGTAGGCCTCTACACTGGTATCCTTCAGTAGGCCTCTACACTGGTATCCTTCAGTAGGCCTCTACACTGGTATCCTTCAGTAGGCCTCTACACTGGTATCCTTCAGTAGGCCCTCTACACTGGTATCCTTCAGTAGGCCCTCTACACTGGTATCTTCAGTAGGCTCTCACACTGGTATCCTCGTAGCCTCTACACTGGTTCCTTCAGTAGGCCTCTACACTGGTATCCTTCAGTAGGACACTGGTAGCCTTCCAGTAGGCCTCTACACTGGTAAACCTTCAGTAGGCCTCTACACTGGTATCCTTCAGTAGGCCTCTACACTGGTATCCTGAACTGATGCTGAAGGCGCTGCTCGGTCTCGGCCACTTATCTCTGCCTTGGCTAAATGTGTTCTGGTCTAACCACAACCCAGTTTGGAGGGTCTACTGCCCGTTTTCAAGTCAATTCACTCATGTTCATGGAGCTGACACGTGGTAATGTTAAAAGTCCAATGCAGCCGTAACCCCACTATTTATTTTGCCTGCAAGCCGGACCAGACCGCCTTACTTTCACCGCTAGTGTTAGGCTGGGCGCTTTCACCACCAGGCTCTGTGTTAGACTGGGCGCTGGCACCACCAGGCTCTGTGTTAGACTGGGCGCTGGCACCACCAGGCTCTGTGTTAGACTGGGCGCTGGCACCACCAGGCTCTGTGTTAGGCTGAGGGCTGGCACCACCAGGTTCTGTGTTAGGCTGGGGGCTGGCACCACCAGGCTGTGTGTTAGACTGGGCGCTGGCACCACCAGGCTGTGTGTTAGACTGGGCGCTGGCACCACCAGGCTGTGTGTTAGACTGAGGGCTGGCACCACCAGGCTGTGTGTTAGACTGGGCGCTGGCACCACCAGGCTGTGTGTTAGACTGAGGGCTGGCACCACCAGGCTCTGTGTTAGGCTGGGATCGTCAGTGTGTGTGTGTTGTACCTAACCATGTTCTACTCATCTCTCTCTGTGTCAGGCTGGGGGCTGGCACCACCAGGCTCTGTGTTAGGCTGAGGGCTGGCACCACCAGGCTCTGTGTTAGGCTGAGGGCTGGCACCACCAGGCTCTGTGTTAGGCTGGGGGCTGGCACCACCAGGCTCTGTGTTAGGCTGAGGGCTGGCACCACCAGGCTCTGTGTTAGACTGAGGGCTGGCACCACCAGGCTCTGTGTTAGGCTGAGGGCTGGCACCACCAGGCTCTGTGTTAGGCTGAGGGCTGGCACCACCAGGCTCTGTGTTAGGCTGAGGGCTGGCACCACCAGGCTCTGTGTTAGGCTGGGATCGTCAGTGTGTGTGTGTTGTACCTAACCATGTTCTACTCATCTCTCTCTGTGTCAGGCTGGGGGCTGGCACCACCAGGCTCTGTGTTAGGCTGAGGGCTGGCACCACCAGGCTCTGTGTTAGACTGAGGGCTGGCACCACCAGGCTCTGTGTTAGGCTGGGATCGTCAGTGTGTGTGTGTGTTGTACCTAACCATGTTCTACTCATCTCTCTCTGTGTCAGGCTGGGGGCTGGCACCACCAGGCTGTGTGCTGGGATCGTCAGTGTGGCCAAGCCCATCTCCATTGAGTGTAAGATGGCCGACTACTCCAACTCCCTTTATGAACACCTGGAGAAAGAGACTGGGGTCAAGACAGGTGGGATGGACTTCTACAGTATGACTCTGGCCTGAGTGCAGCTCCATTTGTGCTAACATGCCTACAGTATGACTCTAGCCTGAGTTCCAATCCATTTGTGCTAACATGCCTACAGTATGACTCTAGCCTGAGTTCCACTCCATTTGTGCTAACATATAATATAATAATAATATGCCATTTAGCAGACGCTTTTATCCAAAGCGACTTACAGTCATGTGTGCATACATTTTTACGTATGGGTGGTCCCGGGGATCGAACCCACTACCCTGGCGTTACAAGCGCCATGCTCTACCAATTGAGCTACAGAGGACCACAACATGCCTACAGTATGACTAGCCTGAGTTCCAATCAATTTGTGCTAACATGCCTACAGTATGACTCTAGCCTGAGTTCCACTCCATTTGTGCTAACATGCCTACAGTATGACTCTAGCCTGAGTGCAGCTCCATTTGTGCTAACATGCCTACAGTATGACTCTAGCCTGAGTTCCACTCCATTTGTGCTAACATGCCTACAGTATGACTCTGGCCTAAGTTCCAATCCATTTGTGCTAACATGCCTACAGTATGACTCTAGCCTGAGTTCCAATCCATTTGTGCTAACATGCCTACAGTATGACTAGCCTGAGTTCCACTCCATTTGTGCTAACATGCCTACAGTATGACTCTAGCCTGAGTTCCAATCCATTTGTGCTAACATGCCTACAGTATGACTAGCCTGAGTTCCACTCCATTTGTGCTAACATGCCTACCCCTCATCACTAAATGGATCTGGGAGCAGGTTAGTATGACCTCTGCTCTCTACAGTACAGTTCCACTCAGCTTCAACTTACCTACATTAGTTATGTCCTTGTCTTTGCTGTGTAGCCAATCTTCTGATGGTGTTTTAGTCAGTTGTGGTTGGTTTGGGTGTTGAATTAATTATTATGCTCTATCTATGAGGGCATGTGACTGGCTGTATCCTACCAGTGCTTCCCCCTCCTCTTCCCACATGCTGTTTCAGTTTGTGGAT